ACAAATGTGACCCAAGTATCAAGTCACCAATCTTGAGGTCACCAATCTGAAGTCAAAATGTGACCCAAGTATCAAGTCACCAATCTTAAGTACCACAGTCACCAATCTTAAGTCAACAGTCTGAACAAAGCAATATTTATGTAGATTCTTACTATCTTCTTCATTCTAAATAGCATGTCTGAAGTCATCCTTGCTTAATCTTTATTTATCTAATAAAATGCAATCACTTCATCGTCTTCTATACAAGCTCCACTCTCAAGAAAGAGTTCCAACCATTAATGTATTATAGCTAACAGTTTTATTTAACATTTTGTCAATATCATAATTAATCTGAGCTGTTTTACATCTAAGAAAAACATTTTACTTTTTCCCCCCATCTGAAACAGTCAATAAACACTGTTCACTTGAAACAATAATGCATTTTAATATTTTTTCACAATGAATAAATTATAATGAAACAAGGACTCATTACTTACAAAGGGGAATGAAGCTTTATGAATAGAGTATAAATTTTTAACAACATAAAAAAATGAAGCTCAAACTTTGGTAAACATTTTCAGTGTCAAATACATGTATGGGAATTTACAAAAGGACAGGCCAAGACAACAGAAACATTACTAGTTTTTATGTTGAATAAATAGTTTAGGGCAGTTGGCTTCAACTATTTATGATATATACAGTATCTTTCTTCTATTAATGTCAAACCCCTCATGGGGACGTAGACGTGTATTTTATAATTACTGTTCTTATATATAATATTCTTAGAATTAACAAATGTGCTTTTTCTTCCCAGAAATCATTGCCTTAGAAGTTTAGTTTTAACAGTAAACAAAGTTTTAGATATTGACGAGAAAACAGAAATATTTTATTTAGCCTTTGAATTATGAAAATTTTACATTCTCAATCATCATTACATTTTTTGTAAATAAATGTGCAGATGAGTTTACAAGATTTATTTGGTTAAATATAATATGAAAATTGGCAAATAACAAAACATCCTTACTTGAAGTCAATTTAACAAATATGTTCATGAACGGCGGCAATTTCAGTGACCAGTGCAGACAACAGAAAACAGCCAGGACCACGTCTGTGCCATCTGATCATGGTCTGCCCTGTTCTTTATTCAGTCAGTACTTATTTGGAAATTTTCCCGAAAAATCATAAATAGTTTTGTCTAGATTTTAAGAAGGACAAGTCGATTTAAGCGTGGTTAAAGGTTAATGAATGTTTGACTGTTTTGTCAGTCTGTTACTTCAAGGGCAACTGACTGTTATATATGTTTTGATTTATTCGTTTAATGCATGTTTACATGGCTGGGCAGACACATAAATAAAAGTACACATTATTGATAAGGAAACAAGAAATTATCATTGAAAAATAGTTTGCGGCAAACAAGTCTCATCAAACAAATTTGCCAATACTTTAAATTTGTGTAGGTATTTACCTAGCTATTATCAAAGTGTTTTGTTTTAGACCTATAAAACTTTCACTGACAAGAATCGCAGCCATCAATAAATATGTTTTATCAGAGTCCAGTGAAAATGAGCAACAATTAAAACGGGCCGCACCCTTGTAGTGACGTTTGACCACCTATAATGTACAGCATATTTATCTGTCTACATTGATTTATATGATTTGTTTTTATACTTTTTTAACAGTCAGTCCAACACCGTAGAATGATGTCACTTTGTAGCTTAAACAATGTTCATTTAAGTGCAAATACGTGAAGAGAGCTTAAAGCTTGTAGTCTATATGAGCCACTCTACACAACTAACCAGCACTGGTATCATACTAGGGTATATACTCAGTGGTCCCAGTAAGGCTTAAACACACTGTCCTTGGGTTGAGTTGCAGACCCATAAACCAACAGGCCACTGCTTCCCTAAATAGGCTAACTTTATATAAGGTTATTTTAGACGTTAAATTCTTGAACGAGCTGAAAGCTTTCTCCCATGACAAGCATCACTGTACTCAATTCAAGATTGTCAATGAATACTTCTTTTAACATTTGATTTCTGTATAATTTACTAATTTCTCTAGAATTGCTTGTAGATGTAATTCACTATTGCAATAAAAAACCTCTCTCCGTTTTCTTCATTAACTACTAAATACATATACATGATTTTCTCTTTTATATTTTGAAAAGAAAATGCCATAAATCCAAGGGGCTTATCCTCTGTAAGCACTTTTACAGACATTCTTGACAATAAGGTGACACATTTGTATTAGAAAAATTTTGTGTGTGAACATAATAAGTCTGAATGTCATACTTTGAAGACATATAAAAACTAAAAAGACCTGCCTTTACTGCATTTTAAAGACTTTTACTGACACCTTTAATGTCAGCAGTTTTCTTTTTTTTTATAACACCTGCATTTTATAATAAATCAGGAAAATAAGGAGTAAAACAGTACTGTAAACACAGAACTTTCAGTGGGAAGATAATTTCATAGTTTAAAAACCTCTATTAGCAAGAGCATTCAGATCTACAAACCCCTGGTGCATCATCCAATACAATGTCATGTGTATGTTAAATGCCTTTTTTGTGATGATTTGGTTGAAAGCAATAGATCTTAAACTATTTTCATCCATTGCTGATGGGTAGAATTGGAAAATGCAATAAATGATCAATCAGCATTTAGTTAAATATATTTATACATCAAAATCATCCCTCATTATCAAAAATAGACTTCAATGTTATTTGGAAGGTGAAACACTGCTTCCAAAAACAGACCATTCCTTTTGCTTTCATCTAACCTTTCAAATGCTACCACTCTCTAACCCCTCAAATGTCAACTTTTCACATTACAATTTTTAAACCCCTCAAATGCTACCCCTTGTATGTCAGCTTTTCACATTACAATTCTTAAACCCCTCAAATGCTGCACCTTTGTAACACTTAAAATACTGGCCCTTTACAATGCTTCTTTGCTGCCCCTCTCTCACTCCTCAAATGCTGACTACATTCCTTCTCTATAACCCCTTACCCCTCAAATGTTGTCCCTCTCTAAACCTTGCAATGCTTACAATGCTGACCCTTTGCATTGTTGATCTCAAACTCCTAAAGTGCTGACCGTTTCCTATGATTTCCTCTAAGCCTTCAAATGCTGTCGGGCCTCTATTACTGCGAATTCACTTATATTCGTGGACATGAAAGTTCGTGGTTTTATCAAAACGGGCATTTTCGTGGGTTCTTAAATTCGTGGATTTTCATTTTCTTGTTAAAAAAAAATCAGTAACCTAATGCAAAGTAATCTTAATCGCCGAACATTTTTACTTACAACATGTACATATCTTTATTTGTCACACAGCGGTTGTCAATAAATTTAATCCTTGCCTCTGGGCATAACTCTAATATAGCACAGTTACTGCAGATAATTGACTGCAATTAACACATTTATGTGACATGATATGCACCTCCATTGGACACACTGTCCCTGTAATTCGCCGATGTAAACATCGCATAATTTATACGACACCTGGCACGTATTAACCAGCGAGTTTAAAAGTTTACACTTAACATATTTGACAGTAACTACACGCAACGTCACAGCAACTGTGTAAATTTACATGCATATAAATTATTCTCGGTAAATAACACGAGTATATGTGGATCTTGTAAAAGTCAGTGGCGTCTTTGATGTTTACGGAATATCATTCGCACAAATACTGATTAAAATTCATATAAACTGGATCATTTAAAAACTACCAAAGAAAGTACAATAAATCTGTTTTAGCGATCGTATATATTTTTTTTATAGTTTTGTGTACCTACGACATTAATATCAAAGACTTTTTTTAAATTAATAAGAGCAAACTGACAATTTTTATAAGCGCTAATTATTGCACTAACTGGGTTCCCATATTTACTCGATTATGTCAAGTATTCTTGTTAACACAATCAAGTCCCAGTAGACTACAACGATCAAGTATGTATATGCGACATTTGTGACAGTAAATTGAGGACATATAATCGTGTTTACTTTCAAGTTTCTTAAATATTGCAAACAGATTTAATATGTCACTAACCTGGTTATCTAACTGTACTTACATCTATTTCACAAAATATCGGCCGGAAAAGAGCCGACGCATGTTTGTAATATATAGAACAGAGACAGGGTAAGATGTATTTGTTGAGATAAAAGTTCGTCGGATCTTAAATTCGTGGATTGACCTACCCACGAAAACCACGAAAATTCGTGCCCCACGAATAATAATGATTTTACAGTACCTCTTAAAGGCTGACCTTTCATTTTATGTTCATCTGACCCTTAAAATATTGCCCTTCTACCTCAAAGACATCAAATGCAGCTACTTTACCATGCTTCCTATCAGCACCTTAAATACCTATCCCTTAAGTTAGCTTCGCTGTGTCAGTTCAAATACAGATCGTGTCCCGTGCTTTGCTCCTACTATTCAACATCTTAAATACATCTCTTTCAAGTTGCCTCTCTCTGACACCTAAAATGTCAATCCCTTTATATGTTGCTCTCTATTCAGTTACGTTCAATGTAATGTCCCTTTAATTTGTTTCTGTGTAATGTCTCGAAAGCACCCATCTATTTCATTTCTCCCTGATCCCTCAATGCAGTCCATTTATTTTTTGCCATCACTAACTAAATACCTGTACCACTTGACACAATTATTCATACAACATAAATCAAAACATTCACAAAATTCTAAAGAAAAAATTTGTATCAAACTACGCAAAACATATTTTATTTGAATTTCTATAAAGCTATAACATACTATATTAAAACCACAATAACAAACTTTAATGAAATTTTCACGGTATTAGAATTACATTAATAGAAGGAACATCTGATCAGATCATAATTCTAATGTCAAACACAAGTTTCTTCATTTAAGATCTTACACTCTGGATCATTTAATGAAAGCTAGATTTTATATCACTTTGAAATGTCAAATGCTGCTTCCTAAAATGGCTAAGATCTTGTTTTGAATTAATGAAAGCACACAAAATAAAATAAAGATATTACCTCCTGTAGCTATGGTAACATTGTCTATCAAATGTCCATAAAATGGGAAAGGAAATGGCAACTTTGCCGTCTGAAAAATAATTACAAACATAAATGAATGTCTGTGACAAATAAAAAATACAATTGAAAACAATAAAATCTATCAACATGGTGCACTATAAAATATGTATGCTCTAGAAAGGTGACAATAGGACATGAATGCCCCTGTCATATGATACAATTAACTTCAAGTACGACCTTGACCTGACACACCCCTCTGACCCTGGTACATTAAGGGACAGAAAAGTTATAAGCCAAAGAGGAGAACAGACATTGTCTCACTATGGTGAAAACATAATATTAAATATTTCCACAATCCATAAAGAGATGACAAAGTTATAATATAAGCCAGATAGAATTGACCTTTGACCTTCAAGTTTGACCTTGACTATGAAGGTTTGGATCTACGAGGTCTTGCTTGCTATATATTGTCTGCCTGTGATGGAGACAAAAGCTGCAACGGCAAAGTTTTAGGTCAGGCAGGATTTGACCATTAACTTCCAAGAGCAACCTTGACCTTGAAAGTTTAAACATGGGTATTACACACAACACATATTCTACTTATGGTGATCGCATGAATGCTAATGTTATTTGAAAGACCATTATGCATACAGAAGTTAGGGACTCTCCTGACACAAAACTACCAGCTGCACTTTAAACTGTATGACAAAATTCTAAGTTATTATTTTGCTGTGACCTTGACCTTTGATTTAGTTAACCTTGGCTTGTAGGACACACAATGTTTTCTTACAATCGTCAAGTGTACATTTTCCTTTTGAAATCTCATCATGCAAGCAGAAGTTGAAACAACCAAAGCTTGAACTCTTACAGCACTTCAGATTTAATGATTTGAATGCCAAGTTCAACATGTTGCTGTGACCTTATACTTAGAGCTAGAAACATGGCTCTTATGACAGTCTTATGTACCAATTTATATTGAAAGCAGAAGTTAAGGACAGGATACATACTCTCTTTAACCATATTAAAGCTATATTACAATCACCTGCATTGACCTTGACCTCTGAGTTTGACCTGGGTCTGGCACAAGAAATTCTTGAAATTTTATCATGCATGCAGTAGTAATGGGACAGAATACAAAGTATATAATTTTCAAGCACACACAGTCACACACACCCATCAAGGTATATGCACACACATGGGGAAGGGAAAATAATACTCAAAACATTATCCCTGGGATGAGAGGCAGTTTAAGCGCCTAACCCACTTCATAATTCAATGCTCCCACTAATTTCATTTGAATTTCTTTTTTATGTTACGTCTTATGCTAAAGAATACTGGTGTAATTACACACAAAAAATCTTCCTGGGAATGTCTCAACACATGCATGACAGTATGAGAGGAAACAAATGATTGAAGTTATTGATGTTTATTACATCTGCAATTATTTCATCATTAAGATATTGTTCCTGTGTTTGTTAAAGGAAAATAATTGAGTAGCAAACAAAATCATTATTCAGAAAAGTGGGGGGAAAAAGTTGCTGTTTTGTTTTAAAGATTTTGCTTTAATTTGTCTCAAGTTGTATTTAAACAGACATGGCAACTTAATTTTCATTTATGAATTGAAATCTAAGGGACTGGCATTGGCCTTAGTATAAGAAACCTACTGGTATTTTCCATAAATATGAATGATATCTGTGTTATGTTGCTGTCTTTTTACAATAACTGTTATTTTGTGAAATAAAAAATGTCAGTACATAATATTATTTCAGATTTTTATCATTGTAAATCAAACAACTGAACAGGAGAACAGCAATGTTTGTACAGTGCACCTGTTTTAATATTGTCACAGGACAGACTGTCCAATATTATGTTGTTTTTATACCTAGCAGACATTATGTTAAATTAACAATAAATCAGGGGGGGATAAGTCTTACCACAGCTGTCCGATGACTGTCTGACAATGTAGAATGCCCAGCTACATCTTTTAGTTCTATCCAGTACTCACTAACATCCGTCAGTTTAAACATTAGAGACTTATAGTAGGAATGGTCATCCTGGAAAAAAACAACAAAACAAAAATATCATAATAATGTAGTAACCTTGGTAATTTATCAATTATGATGGTCATTGGTTCACAGAAGCTAATCAAAGACTGATTTATTAATTATCATTGGGTAAATGGCAAGTTTAAATGATCATGTTATCTTCAAGATGATAATCATAATTTGATATGATATTTGTATAAGGTGATACAAGGGTAACTGCAAAAGATTTTCAAAAGGTATGGTTTTTTTTTAGACTTTCAGCAGACCTCAGTGGAGATGCTTTAATACTATTGCATAAGAAAGTCAAAATTGTCACAATCATAATTATTCCTCAAGAGCTAATCATTTATCATACTTCTTCATTAATGCTAGTTGAAGTGGGCTGATTATTGCTGGGGACAACAGTTTCTCACAAAATAAACCAATATCTCTTAAAACAGTCAGAGGGGCATTAAAATGCCACAAGCAACAAATCAATGCAATTCTTTGTCAATTACAAGAGACACACTGAACAAGATAATAAAGCAGATTCTTGGGGTTTTTTCCCCCCTGTAATTCCTTTTGATCTTCTTTTATATAATGGTTCACTTCAAAGACTCATTTAGAAGAGTGAAAGTTCCACAGGTTAAAAATGTCTTGAAAATTCTGTATTAATCAATTCTGCTTATAGCTTCATTTAGAAAATATAGCTTTTGAGAGAGAGTCTAAAATTCCTGAAATTTTACTTTCACCCAAGTTTTCCATTCAAAGAAACCTTCAATCTATACTGGAGGTGGACAAAATCAGGTGACATGCCACTTATTAATCTAAACAGTACAGGATATCTGAATAGAGCTAGACCATGTTTTAAAACTTGCTGCACTGAGTATAATGGCATATAAGAAAGAGTCTAATACTGGCAGGATGTGAACCAACAATGTTAAGTTGATATGGCACCCAGTGTCGATTTATTGCCCTATTGTTTATCTTATATTGCCCTTTCTCTGTTACAAATAAAATCTATGTTTTCAACTTTTCATTGTTTACATATGTCCTTATTGGACATAACATTGTGTACCAGTAGATCAATATTTATAGATCAAAATCTCAAAGGCCAAACAATGATTACTTTGATATAGATATCTAGTTATATAAATGGAGGACTGTGTATGATGGCAGTTTTTTCTATATTATAAGAAATAATGCATTTTAGATTTTACATCTACATTCTTTTTAATAAAAAAAGTACCATTTCTACAAAATAATACCATTATAAAGTTACAGCAGCAAAACAAATACATGTATCATACAGGTAACTCATAATACTATGTGTTGGCCTATGTTACTAAGTGCATTAGATTCAGAAACTGCCCAAAGTTCACTGTACGTGAATTATTTTGATTACTTCCCCTTTAAAGGTAAACAAGATTTTAAAGATTGCTTAGTTTCCTGTACTTGACTACCGGTGATCAAATCAATGACTTTATGTCAAGTGAATGTTGAAGGAAATAGACAAAGATCTAAATGGAGCATATTTAAGATAGTTAATATTAAAATTTTCAAACTGATCTCAAAAAGTAAAAACATTGGTAATTTTTATCACTTATTCTATAAATGTGTTCCATCAATTTCAAGGCTATCATGGTAAGATTTGTGTCTGCTTTATGGCAAGACCTATATTATTATGCAATTCCAGCCACCTTGATTCTTAGATGGCATAAATTCACAACATAAACATAGCTTAAACTCAGGAAAAAGTCCAATAAATGGTGTGCAACATCCAGGTATTTAACTCCAATTAATACCTATGTAACCATTAGTAACAAAATTTAATGTCTTTCTAGGCTATGAAGGCAATATCTAGGTCATCATGCAATTTCAGCCGCCTTGCTACTCAGCAATATTTTTCCATTATGGATATGAATGACGTAAACAACTCTTAAAGTGATTTCAAAATGGCTGCTGTCATTGAATGAACTGCAGCCTTTTCAACTTGCAAACAAAAAAGTAATAAAAACTTATAATATGATCTAGACATAATTATATGCAATTATATTATTATTCTGTCAAAACAAACTATGTAACACTATCAGTGGTTGTTACATTATAATTCATTGACTGAATTGGATAAATTTGTGATCAAATTTCAGTATTATGTGGTGGGAATTTCAGTATTATGTGGTGGGAATCAATCAAATACTGGTGAAGAAACAAGACTTTCAAGTGACATACATATATCATGTAAAATCAACTTCACCATGAATGTAGTTTATAGTTTCAACCTATAACTTGAATTACGTCACAGTCCAGCTCACATTTTTGTAAGTGTCCATTATGAATTTTGAGATAGCAAGATGAAAGTTTGTCAGCAAACATAGAACCTGGTCAGACTTGAGGGACTTTGTGCAGTCTTTTATGGATTTACATGTATATCAATTGGACTAGTAACACTTTAATTGATTCTTGCAGTTTAAGCAAGTTAAATAAATTTTGGACGAATTATTAAAATGTATAAGAACATTTAAAAATGACATTTTCTTACATGAATAAGGTTCATATCTTCTAATTTTGTGGAAGGCGTAACATCATTTCCAGGATTGCCTGACTGCCGTTTGTATCGCCCTGCCACATTTTCATAATCTATCACAGATATGTCTTGGAATTTATTTTCAGCCTGATTCGCTAGTATTGTGTATACATCATCTGAAAATAGAGAAATAAACTTAAAATAAAACCTCGCTCTTTTTGTAAGCTGAAAAACACTCCTTTCTCAAGCTGGAAAATTGCAAAACTGAAAACAGCAAAATTGGCACACTAAGTTTATGTAATAAAATTGTCCAAATAAATATGCAACACCCTTTCAGATGCTTTCAAAATTTGATAGTTAGCTTTATAAATAACTTGATAAATTCAAAATCCCATGATGCATTTTTCCTGCTAATCAAATGTATTGTCTGATATTTGGTTTGCGTGACATTCTTGAATATCTTCCACGAAAAAATTCACAGTGCAAGATTTTCTATCAATTCAAGATTATTGGTGATCGTGTGAATATTAAGGTTATAATAATGGGTCAAATAATCTTCAGAAAGTGGGGCAAGTCACCTCTTCCATATTTCTTTCCTAATATAATGCCAAAACAAGATTGCATTTGTAAAAAATGCTATGCCAACGCATAAATACAACACTAAAATAGTAATGTAGGAACAAATTTTTTTTGTTTTGACCCAAGGGCTTTAATTTGAATAATCTTGCTAAAGTTTCACTACACAATGTTTACTGCAAAATGTCTCACCTCCAGCCTTTGTCAATTCAAGAAGGTGATTTTTTAAAGTTTTTACTATATACATGTAAAGAAAACCTATGACCCCGGGCAGGGCTAGTTTTTGACACTAGAGGCAAAATTTGAACAACTTTTTGGTAGAGTACCTATAGATGATATCATTTACCAAATATCAAAGCTCTAAGCCTTGTACCTTCAGACAATAAGATTTTTTTATTTTTACTATATGTACATAGTGAAAATCAATGACCCCCGGGGTGGGGCCAATTTTGACCCCAGGGCTATAATTTGAACAATCTTGCTAGAGGTTCACTACACAATGTTTCATGCAAAATATCTAACCTCTAGCCTTTGTCAATTTAGAGAAGATGATTTTTTAAGTTTTTACTATATACATATAAGGAAAACCTATGACCCCCGGGGCGGGGCTAATTTTGACACTAGAGGCAAAATTTGAACAACTTTGGTAGAGTACCTATAGATAATAACACATACCAAATATCAAACCTCTAAGCCTGGTACCTTCAGACAAGAAGGTATTTTAAGTTTTTACTATATGTACATAAAGTTAAAATCAATGACCCCCGGGGCGGGCCGATTTGGACCCCAGGGCTATAATTTGAACAATCTTGGTAGAGGTCTACCAGACAATGCCTTATGCAAAATATCTAAGCTCTAGGCCTTTTGGGTCTTTACAAGAAGATTTTTTAAATTTATTCTTATAATTCCTTTTGGTTGCCATGGCAACCAGAATTCTGCATGGAATGAAATTCTTTGAACAACTTTGGAAGGCCTTCACCCAAGGATCAATCCTGCCAAGTTTGGTTGAAATTGGACTAGTGGTTTTTCACAAGAAGATTTTTTAAGTTCACTATATAATCTATATAACACACACACACACAAACAAACACACACACAGGTGAATCGCTATATGCCACCGCATCGCAGATGCTGCGGTGGCATAAAAATTTCACAAAAAGAACTCAAGTTAATCATGTAACATATCATCTAAATTAGGGCAGCCGCTGAAATTCTCAAAAAGACTTAATAGTCTTGATCAGCTTCTATATTTGGACCCTAAATGATTGTCAATTTTGACAATATCAAGTTGTGGTTTTGAAGTTAGTCAACATTTTAGAGACTTGTCAGACCACACAAAAGACACTGCTGCAGGCTGGCCTGGCTCCATACTTGTAGCAATAGCATGAATCTTTTGGTTCCAGCAGGTGAAGGGTTGAGATGTTAGAAGAGTTACAAATCACATTTATGACTTGATCACTTCTTATGCTACCTTCATAATATTATATTAACACATTTCTTCATAATGAAAAAAAACAACAACAAATATATACCAAATGTAAAATAAAACATTTTTCCCTAAAGAATTGACAAACTATAATATCTGACTTCATCTATTCCTATCTACAAATTTTATGTGTTCATGAATAATAAAATATAATCATTAATATTTACTTCTTGTTTTAATTGATTTCCTCTAGCAAATCATAAGATACATGCATGATAATTTCAGTACTTGACAATTTGGACCAGTCATTGTTTTTAACTTTTATACTGTAACCTCACAAACCAATAACAAAGGAGATTTTAATATATTTTTTTTTACAGTCTAAGATAACCATAAATACCATAAATGAAGGTCTTTAATATTCTAATTATACAGCATCATTCAAGTAAGTATAAACCAAAAATTCCAAAGAAAGATAATCTTGTAACACCTTGCATGTCTGAAATTTTCTTGGAAAATGTAGAGAAATTTATTAAAAATATGCACTTGAAAATGCATTAGAGACATCCAATTGATATGCAGATCTTTTTTTCAAAGATTGACTAAAATTTAACACCTTTCATGTTCTAAAATCTGTCTGAAATTTTTGGGTAAATGTAGAAACTTGTATTTTAAAAGGTGCAACTTAAATGTGCAAGAAGCCACCATTGCACAAGCAGATTTCATTTTTGTATCCTGGGGGTTCCATGAACCACCTATATGGGAGAGTATCAAGTTTAAGTACCTTTTAACTTAAGCACCCTATGTCAAAAATTTCTGGATCCCTGTCTGCATGGTTAGAACAATATTACACCAAAGTACTACAAACTACTTTACACTCTCCTTATACAAACTTTTAATGATTCTAAATTTTATATATACATGTAATTTTAATATAATTCAGTAAAAATTCATGCTGTAGTAAAGGGTCTTTGTCAAGACAGATGGTACACAGTAAGACGCCAACACTCGATCATAGGCAAACACTAAGATGTCAACACTCATAGGCAAACACTTGAAGATGCCAACACTCATAGGCAAACACTAAGATGCCAATACTCATAGGCAAACACTAAGATGCCAACACTCATAGGCAAACACTAAGATGTACACACTCATAGGCAAACACTAAGATGCAAATACTCATAGGCAAACACTAAGATGCCAAAGCTCATAGGCAAACACTAAGATGCCAAAACTCATAGGCAAACACTAAGATGCCAATACTCATAGGCAAACACTTGAAGATGCCAACACTCATAGGCAAACACTAAGATGCCAAAACTCATAGGCAAACACTTAGATGTCAACACTCATAGGCAAACACTTGAAGATGCCAACACTCATAGGCAAACACTAAGATGCCAAAAATCATAGGCAAACACTAAGATGCCAAAACTCAAAGGCAAACACTAAGATGCCAAAACTCATAGGCAAACACTAAGATGCCAAAACTCAAAGGCAAACACTAAGATGCCAAAACTCAAAGGCAAACACTAAGATGCCAAAACTCATAGGCAAACACTAAGATGCCAAAACTCATAGGCAAACACTAAGATGCCAATATTACAGCCAACACCAAGATTCCAGCACATACATTAGATCCTTACACTCAAAGGCAAAACATTTAAGCAAACACTGAAAACAACACTAAGAAGCTCATGAACATTATTAACACTGAAGCCAACACTTATATAAGAGGCCAATATTTACACTATGATGCCAACAATAATAGAAGGTTACAATAACAAGATATAGTGCCAGGATGAGTTAGCTGCCCCAGTAAGAAAATTGTTTACACTTCAAACAGATAACTTTTCAATAAAACTCAACCAAAATAAACTTGTTTATAATACAACAACCTAGTAATTTTATTCATAACAAAACAAAGAAGTGAAACCACAAATAAATAGGAATATAAAACCAAGGGCCAGTGTATGACTAGTCTCAATTTTTCGACGGCAAGACAGACCGATTTTATAATCTGATATTTCATAAAGGCGACCATCGTATATATAAAAAAAAGCCCTAAAGCGCAAAATTTGTTGGGCTAGTGTATGACATAATAAAATCATAGTCAAATTACAATACCTCAATGTGGTAAATTTGATCAACTTTACACCTACAATGAAGTAAATAGGTTAGTTTTTACAAACGATTACAATCCACTAGACATAATTGGTTTGTATCACAATAAAATTAACCAACTTTAGAAGGATTTTAATGGAAAATAACTTTAAACCTATTGTCAAACAAAAGCTTATACCCACTGGCTGTAAAGCAAAAACAAGATTAAAGCCATGACAAAATTATCCACTAGATTGTTACATGGTAAGTTCAACCAATCTGAGGCAAAATAAATGCAAATATTTGCCTTGTTTTAGTTTCCTGTTTACACATGCAATGTATTTCTGAGGTTTATTAAGCCCTGGTCTGACAAAATTTTCAGTCATTATTCAAGAAATGCACTGCTGTAACCTAGAGTAATTATAGCATAGAGCCAGGTAGCCCTGCTGCAACCAGAGCCAGGTAGCCCTGCTGCAACCAGAGCCAGGTAGCCCTGCTGCATACCTGTTGCTCAGCCAGTGCATATTAAGTGAGATTAACCCAAATGATCAACTGATGAAGAAGCGTGCAGCATGGCCTTATACAGGGATTTGATAATATGAAAGTCCATATCCTTGCTAAATTTTCCCTGGGGCCAGGATATAATTGACTAGTGCATAATGGTTGTGCTCTAAAGAAGTTAAACATTAATTAAGAATGTCACAAGCTTTCATAATTAATTACTATAAATTAGTATTGAAATTAAAGTGTTTTCTTTTGACATAAGTAGTCAAAATTAAAATGACTGTTGAATTAATTAAAATAAAATTTTAGCTTACTTTATAATCGAGAGTTTTAATTGTAAAGTAAACATAAATGCATTTAAATTAACAGAAGTCAGTAGCAAAACTGTAAAACATCTAGTGTCATACTGTTACGTCTTTTATTCTGAATAGTAAATAATATAATTCTGCAGGACTGTCATTAAGCATATTCTGAGACAGTCCGTTATGAATTTAAAGAGGTCATTTTTGGTTTAAAAACATGTATCAAAGAGTGTTTCTCTTACAATTTTTAGGCTTAATTCTC